TCTCTGTTACCTGCATTAACTTAGACAACATATCCTTCTAGTAGCTGACCTGCAGAAAGGGTATAAATCTGAGTCAAGAAATGACACCAGGACTGAAAATTCAGACTTGCCTGCAAACGTAAGAGTTAACTCTAAGCAAAACACATGATTGTATTTTCTTATCTGTCAAACTTTCCCCTTTTCCCCCTCCTAAATATCACCATTCATTTTAATGTGGTTTTTCAAAAAATATTCCAATTCAAATACAGCAAAGTGTTGCATGTTCTTGTCCTCACACGTTATATTACACATTATATTATATATTAGTATTCCTTTGAAAGGATTTTGTTCTTTACTACTACCAGGACAAGAAAGCCTTGAAAACAGACTTGCTTATAGTGTCCACCTTGGAGGGATCTAAATGTGATATATTAAATGTTATACATGCACACTATTCAATTTTAAATTAAGCTACTTCAACCCAGGGAGAAGTGCAAAATCATAAACGAAGCAGTTTCTGAAATTCAAACTTTTGTGTTAGGTCACTTCACAGCCGCTTCCAAAGGCATCCAAAAGGGAGCCTGTAAGGGCTCCAAAAAGGTTTCAGGATGGTTATGGCAGCAGACAAGGCTCTGGCAGTGCCTCCTCAGCCCCTTTATCCTCCCACCCACCATCAGGGCTCAGGGCCCTGCCAGGAAAGGTCCCCTTCATTCACCTCAAGCACAGTGACCTGGATTAGCCCAGAAACACTTTCATCCTCACATTAAGCTCACCAAGGTCACTTGCCCATAAGTTTTGGGTGTGTTTGTCTGGTGACCCAGTCATGTGGGGCCTCTCCTGGCTGGAGCCTCTCTGCTGACGGCAACGTTGTGGCCACCTACTGGGCACACATCTGTCCAACTGCTACATCCACCATCCACCACACAGGCATGATCCACCTGCATTCTCTTAAAAACTCACAAATGCCCTGTTCAGAACAGAGCAGACTCTGTCCTTCACCAAAGAGGGAGAAACAAATGCTGAGCTGCCTCTCAGAAGCCCATACAGCAGAAGCTGGCTTGAAACCAGCAGGTTTCCGGCCTGAATCTGACCCAGGCTCATTAGTCTTTAGCTATTTCTGTCTAGCCTGGAGCATCTCACAGATGAAGGATATTCAGAGCCCAGACAGTCTTCCACAGCGAGCATTTTGGCTCCTCAAAGCTGTAATCAGTCCAACGGGTTGCTGTCGCAACTTTTGCTGCGTTTAAAGTCAAGTATTGCAAGGATAGGTATTGGGAGCCAAAAATGCCTTCTCAGTTAAAAAAGTAAACAAGGTCCATTAAATTTTGTTGACCTTTTACTTGGTACCACTGGAACTACAAAGATACTTCTTTAATACAGGAAAATTTGGATTATGGTGCAATTATGTTACTCCAGAAGGGCAGCCTAAGGCCACAGCACTGTCACTGGCAGAAGGGATCCAGTGCTCTGCTGGTGCCACATAGCCCTTTTCTCTTCTGCAGCAACTACAGCAACAACTTCTGTTTCCAACCTGGTACGCTGCACAATCACAAAGAGAGAAGTGGGAGCACAAAGGAGGGCATGGTAGGGCTTAGAGGCAAGTGTCCCTGGCTGGGATTACATCCTTTGGTCCCAAAAGCAGCTTTTGCTAGCTGAGAAAAATCCTAAAACTATGGAAAAGTCTATGTCAAGGTGCTTCTGTTCCCACAGTCACAGGATAGTTGAAGTTGAAGAGGTCCTCTGGATGTCACCTGGTCTAATCCCCTGCTCAAGCAGGGTCACCTGGAGACAACTGCCCAAGGACTGTATGTTAGACAGTTTTTGAGGATCTTCAAGGATGGAGACTCCACAACCTCTCTGGACAACCTGTGCCAGTGCTTACAGTGAAAAAGTGCTCCCTGATGTTCAGAGGCAGCTCTTGTGTTTCAGGTTGTGCCTGCTGCCTCCAGCCCTGTCACTGGGCATCTCTGAGCAGAGCCTGGCTCTGTCCTCTTTGCACCCTCCCTGCAGGTATTTATACACACTGATGGGATCCCCCTGAGCCTTCTCCAGGCTGAACAGTGCCAGCCCTCTGAGACTTTCCTTATGAGAGGGATGCTTCAGTCTCTTCATCATCTTTGTGACCTTCCACTGGACTCTCTCCTGCAGCTTCCTACTGGTGCTCTGGTAGTCTGATCCAGCTGGCAGACACTGATAGCATGCTCCCTTGTCTGCCCTGGAAATCTGGTGAGAAGATGGCATGCAGGGGAGCATATCTCCCTATCCAGAACAGGGACTCTTTTGATCAATCAGTGTGTAAAGGAAAGTCTGTCTCAGAGTCCTGTATCTTGTTTGACTGACTTCTAAGGGAGCAGCTGTAACTACCAGGCACTACCTAAATGTAACCAAGCACAGACTAAAAAAAAAATAAAATTGTCTTTTCTGGCTAGAAAGAAGTTTATCCAGAGACTCAGCATAATTTATTTTTACAGCAGGTATACCAAACCAAGACAGTTAAAAGGCTAAGTCTCCAGAGCTCTAGATGCTATGTAAATAAATGCTAAATAATTGCCTGCATTTAAACTGTGGTTCAATGTTCAGCAAGGAAAATAGCTCTTGTTTTTCTTAAATTAAATTCTGATTTTATCTAGACTATTTTGCTTGTTCAATTACATGAAAAGTCATCCCGCTTGTTAAGTGCCAAAGCCTCATCCTGAAACTGTATGATTAACACCAGTTCTTCCAAAAGCTACATACCAAATAGGTTTTTGTGACTAACTTAAAGTCCCTCAGCTGGCAATATAAGCAAGCTGACCTAAGCAGGCACACACATTCTTGCTGTGGAAATGTCAATTTACAGGCACTCTTCTGAAGAACTGAGATTATGACTGTGAGGACACCAGGCAGCACAGCCCAGAGCCCTGCAACCACAGTGGTCCCAAATAGTTTCCTGTGCACAGCAGGATCAGGTAACACTTGGGAATGCACAATTCCAACTCGTCCTCAGAGCCAAGGAGCTGCAGTTGAAGGCACTGTCATCCCCCTATTGGATTTCCCTCAACCTGTAGCAGAGTTGGTGGCAAGAAACCTGTGCCTCCTCCACCTCTGTTGCTTCAGGCCAAAATCTGAATTCTTGCTATAATCCCATCTTTCCCAGCAATTTAACCCATTAGACTCAACTAGAAGATGCAAGATGGAAGGCACAGGTGCATGCTCTCTTCTGCATGAGAGAGGGTGATGATGGGCAGTGGGACAGAGCAGCACCACTTCAGCCACCAGAGCTGGGCTGAAGCAGGCTGGCCCTTCAGGATAGATGTCCTCCCACACTAGGTGAAAACATGGCTACTTGCTTTAACTACATTTTTTTACAGGGTTTTGGATTTCTCTCCACTGAGCAATGATGCTGGTCGTCAGTAAATTATCTACTGTGATCCCTCAGGATTTCTCTTCATGGTATTATTAGCTTAGTCTGTGACTCCAGTTTTTATTTGCAGACAATAACCATCCCTGAACAAAAATCTCCAGCTTGAGTAGCTGGCAACTCCACTGTGAGGCATCAAGGACAGGTGCATCACTGCTTTGGCCAGGATGATGCAGCAGCAGCACCTCCTTCACTGCAGAGCCACTGTCCTGCCAGCCCAGGGGTGACCGAGTCCTGCTGCTTATCTCCAGCCTCCCAGCCACAGATCTGAGAATTTACAGCACATAAAAATAGTACATAAAACCCCCTTCCACTGACCTGCTTAGTTTTTGTAAAATCAGAGTATTGCCCACTTGCTGCAGACACTAGTCTGCTTGTTTAAAAACAAAAATCCCACTGGCAGACAACCAACATACAAGAACATCTACAAAGAAGCTGTTACAGTTTATCATGCAGTAATCCATGGATTAAGGTCATTAATAGCCCTCTATGACATACTGCCATGACTCCAAAGGTGCTCTTCTGCCTTACAGGACAGATATACAGAACATAACCCCCTCATAAATATCTCCCCTGAGATACTGTCTTCTAAATCTTCAAAAGAAAAGAAAAAAATGAGAAAAACCAGAAGGCAGATGCCTAACACAATATTTTGCATTGCATAAAAAAAAAGTTATAATGGAAATAAACCACCCTGGGTTTTCTTATCTTTCACAGTAAAAGAGTTGTTGGTAACTGAAATTTTGATCCTCAGAACTAAAAGAGCAAGCCAAGACATTCTCCCATGCCCAGAAGATAAAGTCATAAGTAAAACTTTCAAACTAAAATTTGAAATTCTCAATTCTACCCTTTAATTATTTATATGAAATAAGCTTTCTCCTTCTGTTGACATGAGAACACAAATATATCATCATGGAAAACACTGCATACTCCTCAAATCCCAAGGGATCAATCTTTTATGCAGTACATGAACTGTTTTCACAGAACTTTTAAAAACAGATTTCTAAAGCATGCCTGATGTCATTAGGAAGTCCAAAGAAGCTGATACCCTAACAATATGATTGCTAAACATCCTCCAAAGAAGAAAATCCCTTTGCTCCTCCTAAACTTATGCTCATATCTGCACTATCCATACATGTAATTACCAATGATATTAATTTACCTGAGTCCCCAATACCAAGAGTAAATAACCCTTGTGTCAAATCTGAACTAATGGATAGACTTTTCTCACTTATGTTGATCTAAATGAAAAAATCTGCACTCTTTCCCTATGATTTGTTTCTTTAGGACTCTGGGAATGGCATAGTATTGTGCCACTGTGTATTTTCATTTACCAGGAAACAGTTATAATTCATAAAATGTACTCAGAATACAACTGTCCTACCAGCTGCAACCAATTCTGTATCCCGCAGTCACATGCAATTTTTGTAAACAACATAGTGACATTTGAAAAAGAAAAACCTTAGAAAGAAATCTTAAAATCTTCAGTAAACAAACATTATGATAAACAACATTTGTTTCAATATACATCTCACCAGGAACGAATCACTCATCATTTCTTATTTTACTTTCACTACGATGTAGTAGCATTTTCACTACACATGCAGTTTCTTTTTCTTACCTTTAAGGAATCAAAGCAGGCAATAACTCTTCCATTTTCAACCTGGCAACTTTTAGGGGGGTGTGCAAATTTGCATTCTTCATCAGAGCGTGAACAAGTTCCCCTCTGAAACTGCCTGCACACTTCTAATGTCAGCCATTTTGTGTCTCTTACGGGAGCAACATTCAAAGCCATGATGAGAAGCTGATTTTGAACTTGTAAGTTGCTGTCAGGTGAATTATGCTGAAGAAATTTCCAAAACTAATGACAAAGGAAAGGGGGGGAGGGGGGGGAAGGAAGTCAGAAAAAAAAACAACTTCAATTCTAATGAAAAATAAAGTTAAAAAAACCAAGCAGTGGGGGACGATTAACGACGTCCAACGCACACAAAGCAGAACAAGCAGAGAAAGTTTATCAGCACGCAGTCACTCATCAATCATTAAGTCCCGCTCGTAGACTTTTGGCTGGGAAAACACATGCTCAGTCGCATTTCTGTCTGTAAAACACGTGGGTTTGTTGATTGTAATCACGGATGCACTGGTTTAAAGCCAAGGTCCATCAATGCAATGGCACTCCTTGATAGAATAGCAGTCCTCTGATGGTTGCTTGCTGGTATTGATTACATGAGAAAAGCAATGCGGTCATTTGTTCATGTCCCAGGAATAATAATAATAATAATCCTTTTTCTGCTTTCAGTTTCCCATCAACTAATTGGCAAATGGAGACGGCTGAGGTATCTTCTGCCAGGTGTAAGGTGAAGGCAATGTCTGGCTGGCAAAGACGGGATTTTGAGAACCCAGGCGTAGCAGTCCTCGCTCGTAAAAGTGACTTGGCAAAGGCACTTTTTAAGTCACTGACCTGACAAAACAAATACAGCTTCAGTTCACGTGCAACTCATTCAAATCAACATTATGAAACCTACAGGCTCTTTTTATCAGATATTATAAACATACAGCCAAAGTTCACTCTTAAAAAAAAAAAAAAAAAACACCCTCCTTTGTGAAGTTACACGTGATAGGGGAATAACCAGTTGAAACACGTACTGCAGTAATATTCCAGGCAGCAATCCAAAAGTTGGGAATGATTTAAATAGATGAATGTGGCAGACACAATAATTAGGCACACTAGTTGTGAAACAATTCAATCAAATGTGCTTAGTCTCCAAAACTGTATACAAGAACCCTTTTCCATTAATTTATCACTTGGCCCTTTAGACTGTGTTACTACATTCTAAATTGTTACTCATTACTTGCTCTTCCTTAGAAACCAGGATGGTAGTATTCTGCTCAGATTTTTTTCATCTCCCTCTATTTTTAACAAAAAAGAAACCAAAAAATGTAATTCCAAAATTATAGGAAATAGAACCCCTCCAGATGCAGGCAATATAGTTAGTCTTCCCATTAACCCACATGCTGTTCCATAAGGGCTTCATGAAAGGGCTTAACCACCAAGTCACCATGCTCCAATGAGTCCTTTCTATTATGAAGCAGTCTTTATCTAAATATTCTTTTGGTTTAATTAGCCTTTGTGTACCTCTGCAAATACATCCTTCAGCATCAAAACATCAGATTCCAATATGGCACTTAAACTGTTTGGGCACTATAAAATACCTAGGATATTTTACAGAAAAACAGATTTGAAAATCAAAGGGTTAGATATTACAAAAATATTTAATCACTAACTATATTTTATATACAGACAATGAAATCATGCATATGATGTTTCCTTCTACTTAGCTTCAAAGGAACAGAACTTTTACTTTTCAAATACCAGCCAGAAACAGTTGATGGATTATTTTTGTATATGAAAAAAGAAAAGGGGAAAGACTGGAATAAGTGAGATTTTAAAATACGTCAGTAAAAATACTTCTAAAATCACTGTCAGCTTTTCCATGTCAGAACAACTACCATTCTGTGCTTCCATTCACTGGCCTTAACTGAAGTCAGTATTGTTTGTTAAGGAAGAATTACTCACACCCAGTTTCAGGATCAGATCCCAGTTCTGACTTCTAGGTCTTCACATCAAAAGGCTTTTCTACTACTTAGTAATGCTACCAAAAGGGGTTTTACTATGTGACCAGTACTTCCACCAAAAGTTCCTACTGCTAGCATGAATAAAGGAAACGCAATGCTAATTGCTGAAAATTCAGTTTCAAGTCCAAAGTGCAATAAGATGGGTCTGGATGACACTTAGCTTTACTTGGTCATGAAGAACAAGGTGCAAGAGAATCAGTACTTTTTGAAATAATTATATGCCATTATAGTACAGCACATAAATTACAAACTCCTCAAATTAAATATTCCATCAATGTTGTCTGACAGCATCAATGAAGAATGAGATTAAGCTAAAAGCATACAAAGAGGTGAGAAAATACTCATAACTGATGAAAGGGAAAGAGAGGAGGAAATACAAGAAGAGCCTCTCCACAAGGGCTTGTTGAGCTGATAGCTTGTTGGGCTGATGATTTAGCTGGCTAAATGTAAAAGAGGAAATACTCTCCCTAGAGCCACACATTCCAATTCAGAAATGTCAGTAACGGTTTTCAGTAATAGATGTAGGAGACAGACGGAAATTTTGGGAAAAGGGTAAATGTTATACTGCACACTGCTGAAAGTCACAAGTAGTAATACTCTGCAGGGCTGCACACCATAAAATTGACAAAGTTGTTTCTCAAGTAGTAGGTGTTAAGACTGAAAAAAACCAGACACAGCACGTGGCAGCAAAGCAAACAGCACACAGTATAGAAATGGCAGTAACCATGGTTTTTAAAAAAGAAGTGCACAGCAGAATCACATACAAGATTTGTGAGACTACAGCAAGAATTCACACCAAAAAGCATTTGGGGGTGCAGGGTAGAAGAGTGAAACACAGTATCATCCTATTTCTTACCCTCATGCTACATGAAGATTTTCTAAAGAAAGGGAAGCACGAAAAGTTTGTCTCTAAAATCCATGTCTTGTCCAACATAACAACCCCATGTGATTTCTCAAGAGTCATCAAGTGCCTCAGAAGTTCCTACTGGTAAAAACTCAGGAGACAGAACTGAGTCCTGTCTCCTTTCTGAAGGAGGCCATGCCTTCAGCAGGAGGCAAGTTCAAACATGGTGAAGACAGAACAATTTGGAGTGCTTCATCCCTACCACTTACATGACCTATGCGTTCACAATCACGTGCTAGGCAGCTGTCATACCTCCTCTGCCCATCACCTGCACCAGGAGGATGAAGGAAGAGATGCCACCTTGAAAACCTGAACATGAGGGACACAAAACAAGGAGGAGGGAGAGAAAAGACAAAGCAGAGAGTAAAATTATTCTTCTTGGAGAAGTCCAGAAAAGTAGAATTCAACATATGAGGAAAGTGCTCAAGGGAAGGAAAAAAATGGGAGAGGAAGGTAGGAAAAGGAAATGGCTGGTTATGAAACTGAAAAGAAGGGAGAGACTTCATAGCAAATGGAAGAAAGATGGAGAAAGGCTGTGAACATTGGAAGAGAGAGGGCCAAGAGGAAATTTTAGAAGGAAAGCAGAAGAGGCTGTGGTTACAGGGAAAAAACTCCAGCAGTTTGAGTAAACAGGGAAGTAAATAAGGGAAATGAATGGAGTTTATATAAGAAAATATAACAACAATAATCCTCAATAAAATGCCTGCAAGGTCACACACCATTATTAACATCACGGTTAACCCTGACCTTGCGTATTGCAAAACCCATCCATCTGGAGAAAACCAGTAGGTTTTGCAAATGCAAACTCTGCTCCTCTTCCCACTATTTCTAATTGTGCCCCAACACATCAGCTGAAGTTAGCTGTCCTGACAAAACCAATGGTACCTCACTGGCATAAAACCCTCAGCACGAAGTGTCCCTTATCCTGGCAGAAGATTTTGTTTGCCTTATGGTTTTGTTTAGTTGTTTTGTTGTTATTACCATTAATGATCCCAACTCAAGACAACACCCACCACTGTAGCTAAACAAGCTATCAAAACTTACAAACAAACAACTGAGCTGCAAAATATTCTTACTGAAGATGAAAGAAGTACTCAACATAAGAACAAATTATTTTTGTCTTTTTACAACTATTATTGTTTATTTTCAGTCTCTCACACAGTTGAATCGATGGAATTGATCAAGAATTCACACTTACAAATGCAGCTTTTTGCAGGTTAAGTGAAATGAAATTCATGGACATGTATTTGTAAAAGTTATTTAGCTTTGGATCCCTTTTAGGATAAGCAGCACTTCCCTTTCACAGAAAGCTAGCAAGGCATAGGACTAGAAGGCCTTTGTCATGGTTAAGAAAAAAAAAAATCCTTTTAATTAGTAAACAAGACAAAGCACACAGACATTAGAAGCCCAGAGAAAAAGTTCTCAGAGAAATACAGGGCAGCCTCATCTTTGGGAATTGCAAGTGAATACAAAGCCCTGCCCTATTATGAACGAGCTGGATTTTTCAGCTGGAAAATAGGAGCTCTTACTATCTACAAAATATGAGTTGCTTTGGTACAGTAGTTTTACTTATCAGCCAGATTATGTGGCAATGGATCATGCAGTATCTGTCTGATGGTGAAACTGAGACTTCCTGGACATGATATACTCATGGCTTCAGTAGGTAACGTAGTAATGAGCAGCCCCATCTTCAAAAGTCATCTCTGCAGGTGATGACATCCAGTAAAGGAGCACAGTCTTCTACATGGTCTCACCACAGATATCTAGAGGAACCACTAAGTCCACCCAGAAGGTGTTAAAACAGTTTTACACTTTTTGAGGTTTAAACACTCTGTATTATTCATCACATCAAAATCTTCAGTAAGAGATGTCAACACTGGGGCTCAATTTGTTGCTCCTACTGTCAAAATTTATCAACATGATCCATATATTTCTTCTATAAATATACCAGAAACGTAAGAATTAAAAAGTTAGAAAACCCTCAGTTGTACTTAAAGGGGACTGTGCAGTTTGAAGTATATAAGCTCTTCTTTCCCAGACAGAAGAGATGTACTAAATATACTTAGCCAAGTACAAGTTTGATAATTTGTATTATTATTATACAAGTTTGATAATTTGTAAACAATGCTCTGTTTTAAAGACAAAGACCCCAAAAAACCAAAACGAAAACATTCCTCAAACCTCAGAGACTCACTAAGCTGTGAAAGCAAGGCGAGCCTTCTCTAGGTAACTAGCAGGGAGGAACATGTTGACTTACAGACTGCTGCCCAAATTCAGTTAAACACATGACCTCAGGTGGGAAAAAACTCACCTTCTACAGGCTATCTACAGCCACC